AAAAAAAAAAAAAAAAAAAACATTTGCAAGCCTTGCTTATACCTTTTAGCTCCCAAGTGACCAAGTGAAAAGGGAAACATGCTTTATATCAAGATAAGTAGAAACAAAATGTCAGTGGCACTCATGGTTCAAAGTTAGCTGATTATTTATTTATTTATTTATTTAGTACTGGGAATCAAACTCAGGTCCTTGCGCTTGCAAGGTAGGCCACCAAACCGCTGAGCTAAATCCCCGGCACTGATTATTTATTAGGTATAGAGATATACTTGCTAGACTAATCTTTGTGGGGGGAGTAATGCTGTTGATAATATTATGGTACTTCTATTTATTTTCTTTTTGCTTTTCCAAAAGAAGATGAACAAAGATTAAAAAAGAAAAAAAAATTCAGAAGGTGAACATATAGCTCTGAAAAGCACAAACTAGAAACATTATCCTCGAGGAAGCAAGTAGAAGAGAAATACATTGAATTTAGGTTATATGATTATCTTCGATGGTTACTTTGCTTTATTTGTTCTGTTTCTCAAGAGAAAGTACAAGAATCTTAACGTGCAGTTCTTTTTAAAGTTATGTTTTGGAAAAAAATAAAAAGACGAAAAAGAAAAAGGGGCCAGTGCTTTAGCACAGTGGTTCAGGTGCCTGCCTTGCAAGCGCAAGGACCTGAGTTTGATCCCCAGTACCGCCCCCCCAAAGATGATAACGTTACGCTTTGGTAGATATCTAGGAAGAAATGAAAGGATACCAAATATTAGTGAATTACTTAGTAACTGTAAGGAGGGAGAAAATGGTCAGTATGACCTTGAATCTGCAGGTTGTTTTCTTTTGCTTTTAAAAAGGTAAAGAATGAAAATTTCCAGGCCGCAGATAGCCACTAGCCACAGGTGGCTATTAAAAGTAAACTAAAAGCCAGTGAAGTAGCCATATTTCAAATGCTTAGTAACCACATGTGGTTTGTGGCTACGTTTTGGAGAAACACAAAGAACCTTTTCATCATGATGGCTCTGTTTCCACCAAGGCTACTGAACACGTGTGCTGCAGGAATCCTAGCTTTGGTTTTGGAACCTGAATTTCATACCTTGCATTATTTTTTGTTATTCTTCTAATGAATGCAATCGCTATAATGAATGCAATCTCTATACCCTGGTTACCTTATTTTCAGTTATTTGCACCTTTCTTAGTTAGAGGTTATAAGTGTAGCAAAGATAAATTGGTTTCATTTTTAAGAAACTGTCTTAAGTTATTTTCATGAGATGCTGACTTCCAGGTAAGAATCTGAAAGATAAAGGATAAAAATTATCTGTAATCCCACAGTTCTTCAGTAAGCACTTTTAACATCTTGATATCTTCCCTCTGAAGTATCCAGATATTTGTAGTGTACATACATGTAGTAGATACATTTTACATAATTAAAATCAAAGTGGGAATATAGTTTGAATTTTTAAAAATGTATGAATATTTCTTCTGTTCATTAAGTATTCTTTGGAAACTTTTTTTTAAGTTTTAGTTTTTTTACTATAGAGAATTTTAAACTTATGCAAAAACCCCCAGAAAACTGTATTTCCCCTAATACTTATTACCCAGCTTCAGAACCATAAAAGATGCATTTCCTTTTTTCATCTTTATCTCTCCTTATTCCTTACTTTACTAACTTGTTAATTATTTCAGGTAAAATTTACATACACAAAGAGACAAATCTTACTTGTATAGTTTTACATTTTTTTGAGGGGGTATCAGGGATTGAACTCGGGTCCCTGTGCTTGCAAGGCAGGTGGCAGAACCCCTGAGCTAAATCCCTGGCCCTTACTTGCATAGTTTTAACAAATGGATGTTCCTGTGTATCTCATGTATCTATCTGTAAAAATATGGAATATTTCCATAGTCTCAGAAAATATATCTTTCATGTTTGCTTTTGGTGCTACTTTCATTATATTTCTTATTGACTTCATCTTCCTTTATGTGTCTTTTGCATAATTTCTCCCTAAAATTATATACTTGATAATTTCTATATTAATAATTTTAAATATGAATTAATTATTTTTTGAAAGTTAGAAAATTTCTATTAACAAAGTATATGGGTAAAAATTTCAGTTAAATAGATTTTGTGCATATATTTCCTACGAAACAAAATTTTGTTGAGTTCATTTTTGGTGAGTTTATTTCCTGTTGAGCTTTTGACTTACTGTGTAGGCCAGATTATTGTAAAATTAATACAACCCATAACGTCAGACATCTACAGTATCCAGCAAAATATATCTGATCTTGTGGACAAACACAATTATTTTAGCCAGTGTAAATATTGTTAGTTTTGCTTGCTTGCTTGCTAAAGAGGTCTCTGAAACATACTTCATCAAAGCTGATGTGCTGTGTTGGAGTCCTCACATTTTGACTTGTGAGTCATGTTTTCATAACTGCAGTGGGAATGGAGTTGGAGAGTCAGCTCCCAGGTGTGGCTCCACAGTGCTGTGTTGTGGGTGTGTTCCTGTAATGTTTTTACTTTCAGACCAGTAGCCCACAGCCTTTCCTCTGGGTTGCTTATTTTGGCTTCTGATCTTATTTTCTCAATTTCTCTGTGGGTTTTACTCTTTCATCATTTACGACTTGGAAAAAGACAATAATATGTGCCCACAGTGTTTGGATAGTAAAATGATAGTGGTGCATTTTAGGGGAAAAAAAAGTTAATGAAGAAACAATAGCAGAGAAACTTGGTGAATATAAGTTTTTTACATAAATGCTGACTTACTGTGGAGTTATTTTTCTTTATAATCGTTCTTTTCTGTGCTTACTTAGGCAGCATATACACTATAATCATTCTTTTCTTTAGTGTTTTGGGTCTTGAGGTATGGCTTGACTCAGTGATAAGAGTGTGTGCTTAGCATGTCCTTTGGGTCCAATCCTCAGCACCAAAAATAAAATATAGACGTACCCCACAAAAAATGACTTTCATCCACAGAAACGAATCATTTAGGGCTGTATTAAACAATCACTTCATTATTTGAAGCTAAAATAATTTTCTTGGCACCATGGTTTCATGTAATAATTTGTTTCACTAATTGATAATAGAAAAAATAATAAAGATAATAACATTTTAGATCTTTCAATAATCTTTATTTTTGTTCAGAATTCCTGTTTTCTTTAAATCCATATGTTTATGGATCAGGATTCACCTTTCTGAGAATCAGGATTAATTTCCCTTGACCTGGATCAAGACCATCTCTGCCTCGCGAGGCTTTTCATTTACTAGTGTGAATGCCATTCTACCTTCTCCAGATTGCTTCACTTCTTTCTTTCTTCATTGTTTTTCCTGCAACTGTTCCTTTCTTAAGTTTTGTGGTTCTTTCTTCCACTCTTACTTATGCTATAATTGTTGATCTCTGTAATTCCATGATTGTTGATTTTCTGCTAGGCTCTTTAATTCACCATTATGACAATCATTTCTAGTGTTGGGTAGGCCAGTTTTCCTGGTAGTGGAATGATTGGTGGACAAATCTCTCTTCCTTAGCGGAGGACATACTTCGTGAGTTTTAATAATTAGGCAATAGTTTCTCTGGTGTGAAAAACTAAAGTGTAAATAAGGTTCAAATTGTATAATTGATAAAGTGAAATAGGAAGAAAAGATCTAAAGGAGTGGGGGAAGTGGGAAGGGTAGAGGAAAGGAAAGAAGAAAAAGAAAAAAAATATGAAAAAGCAAAAAAGTGGAAACAAAGTCTGTAAATAGGGAAGGGTGGAGGGGTTGAAGGGAAGGCAGGAGAATGGGGAAAAATAAGAACCAAGATCTGTCATGTAAAGGTGCAAGATCCCAATGATGAATGTAACTGTACTGTATACCTAAAATGTACTAATAAACTTAATTTAAAAAAAGAATTATGCAAGGGGTAGGGTCAGAGTAAGACCCCAGTACCCTGTGATAGATCAGTCCCCAGGGCTCAGTCATGCTGGGGAATCAAGGAAGTGTTGCCTGTTGGCTGGGGATTTAGCTCAGTGGCACTGCACCTGCCTTGTGAGCACAAGGTCCTGATTTCAGTCCCCAGTACCCCCTCCCCCCAAAAAAAGTTACCTGTTTTCATACATTTAATATAATTCAGGGTGTTTGAAAGTAAATGTTAACTGTGAGTTTTATGAAAATATGTTGTTGTGAATATGTAGTAAATTTATTAAGTTTTCTTCTTTCACCCTTGACACTATTCCTCAGAGGTGTATTCTGAATCCTAAACATTTATAAGTG